TTTGTTCAAAGAGCAGTGAATTTCTTTTTTTTATTTTATTTTATTTATTTTTTTATTTTGTGTGTGTGTGTGGCCAGCTCAGCCCACGAGGGGGCAGGGCTGGCTGGCATGTGGTGCTGGGGATTGAACCGCGGTCCCTGTGCTTTGCTTAGCTTAGCTTGTTCTAAGTAGGTGCTTTAGACCACCGAGCCATCTCACCAGCCCCAACCCTGAATTTCTTTTACCAAATATTTCTGATTAAAAAACTTATTACATATCCATATGATGATTTTACATAGCTATTAAAAATATTCTTATGTACTGAGAAACTTCTTTACTGACACAAAATTCTCTTCAAAATATGATCCCCTACTATACATGACACAAATGTTCATTTCACACACATATATGATGAATGAAACAAAGCAAAGTCCATAACAGAATATCCTGTGTGTGTATGTTTGCCTCAAAGGAGGGATGACATTCATAAAATCTGCCACACACTATGAAACATATCTGGAAAGATATACAAGATAGATAAGTTTTTTTCAAGAAAATATGTCACACAATTCAGGGATGCTAGTTAAGAACTTATGACATGAATTCTTTTTCTTTTTATATATACTTTTTGAATTTGGAACAATATAAATGTCCTAATTATGTAAAAGCAAATAAATATTCCTCATCAATTGAAAAAACTTTTTAAAACCTTTATAAATGGGCAGTTTCATTAGAAAACCTCTAAGCGTCACTATACATCAAAAGAAGAATGACTACCTCCCAGACTCCTTTGGGAGTATTAACTCAATCACGCAGAAGCCACCTGTATGAATTCAGATGCGGAAAACACACTCAAAAAACCCCACCTGGGAATCAACTATCCACAGAGAGCTGATTCCTCCTATCCACAAAGGAGCAGCAGCCGAGGGAGGCAGAAGATTAAACCAAGAGTGGAGGCCAGCAGCAGGCTCAGTAGCTGCAGGTAATATCTTTCCTGCTGTCTTTGCTCTGCCGGGCTCTCCTGGACCAGATCCGCTACACAATTCCAGAGGAGCTGGCCTTAGAAGATGATCATAGGAAACTTCACCAAACACTTGGGACTTCGTGTCCAAGACTTCCCTGCCCAGAAGCTGAAGGTTAGTGCAGAGAATTAATACTTTACAGTAAACCCAGACAGCAGGGACTTGCTTGTGAATGACAGATTAGACCAAGAGCAGATTTGCAGAAAAAAGCTTCTATGTTTTATGGGTTTCGATGTCTTTGCTGAAAATCCATTGAATATTTTCCACATAGCAGTAATTGTTCAGTATATAAATGATAACACTCCACTATTCAAACAAAGATTGCTTTAAAAATTGGAGAATCCACTAAGCCAGGTAAAACATTGCCTCTAGATCCAGCCCTGGATTCAGATGCTGGGATTAACTCACTGCAAAGATATCTTCTTCACGACAAAGAGTACTTTGATCTTGCAGAGAAACAGACTTCCAATAGACATAAATATCCTGGGTTGATCCTGAAACATTCTCTGGACAGAGAAGAGCATAATTTTCATCCATTGGTCCTCACTGCTGTGGATGGGGGAAACCCACCTCGGAGCAGCACCACCCAAATCCAAATTTAAGTCACTTACATCAGTGACAACTCTCCAGTGTTCAGCCAGGATGAGTACAGGGTCACATTGCCAGACATGGTTCCCCTGGGTTTCTCAGTGCTTCAGGTGACAGCCACCAACCAGGACGAAGGCATTAATGCAGAGATCACCTACTCCTTTCACAATGCGGATGAACAGGCAGTACAGTTTTTCAATTTACATAAAAAAACAGGACAAACCACAACAAAGGATCATCTGGATTTTGCAATTGCTAATAGTTACACCCTGAACATAGAAGCAAAAGATCCTGGAGATCTTGCATCCCATTGCAGCGTTCTAGTTGAAATTCTTTTTTTTTAAATTTTATTTATTCGTGTGTGTGTGTGTGTGTGTGTGTGTGTGGCGCCAGCTCAGCCCACCAGGGGGCGGGGCTGGCTGGCATGTGGTGCTGGGGGATTGAACCCTGGTCCCTGTGCTTTGCTAAGCTTGTTCTAAGTAGGTGCTTTAGACCACTAAGCCATCTCACCAGTCCCATAGTTGAAATTCTTGATGAGAACAATTGTGCACCTGAGGTGATTTGACTTCAGTATTTACTCCACTACCAGAAGATTCACTTCCAGGAAGTGGTCGCCTTGATTAAAGCAAGAGATAGAGACTCTGGAGAAAAAGGTGAGGTTTACTGCTTCATCTCGGAAAATACAGGGTTTCTGCTGAAATCTTCTACAAAGAACTATCACAAACTAGTGACAGACAGGGCTCTGGACCAAGAGGCAATCTCTGAGTGCAACATCACCATCACAGCCACTGACAGGGGTAAGCTACCCCAGTCCTCCAGCACAAGCATCATCCTGCACATCTCAGATGTCAATGACAGTGCTCCGGTTTTCCAGCAGACTTCCTACATGGTCCACATAGCTGAGAACAAGCTTCCTGGGGTCTCCACTGCGCAAGTCAGAGCCTCTGATCCTGACCTGGGATTCAACTGCCAAGTCTCCTACTCCATTGTGACCAGTGATCTGGAGCCCAGAGCGCTGCTGTCCTACGTGTCCGTGAGCGCACAGAGCGGGGTGGTGTTCGTGCAGCGCTCCTTCGACCACAAGCAGCTGTGCACCTTCCAGCTCACGCTGCAGGCCCGCGACCGCAGCTTGGCGGCGCTCAGCGCCAACGTGAGCCTGCAAGTGCTGGTGGAAGACCACAATGACAACGCACTGCAGGTGCTGTACCCCGCTCTGGGGCCCGACAGCTCAGCGCTCTTCGACATGGTGCCGCGAGCCGCCGAGCCCGGCTACCTGGTCACCAAGGTGGTGGCTGTGGACGCTGACTCGGGACACAATGCGTGGCTGTCCTACCACGTGCTGCAGGCCAACGACCCTGGGCTCTTCAGCCTGGGGCTGCGCACTGGCGAGGTTTTCACCGCGTGCGCCTTAGGCGATAAAGACGCTGCCCGACACCGCCTGCTGGTGGCGGTGCGTGACAAAGGACAGCCTCCTCTTTTGGCCACAGCCACGTTGCACCTCATTTTCGCGGATAGCCTGCAAGAGGTCTTGCCCGACCTCAGTGAAGGGCCAGTGCCCTCTGACCCCCAGGAGGAGCTGCAGTTTTACCTGGTGGTGGCCTTGGCCTTTATCTCTGTGCTCTTCCTCCTCGCTATGATTCTAGCGGTTGCTCTGCGCCTGCGCCACTCCTCCAGCCTAGCTCCAGGGAGCTGTTTGCCGCCTGGTCTAAGCTGCAAGACTGGACCCGTGGTCCCAGTCTTGGACAATGACGTTGCCATTTTCCTACAACCTGTGCATTGCCTCCCATTCTGCAAAGACAGAGTTCAGTTTTCTGAACTTGACATCGGAAGTTGCTCCCCCTCAGGATCTCCTGTGTGATGATCCTTCTGTGGTTGCATGTACCAGTAATGAAGATCTCAAACTATTTTTTGACACTTCTTTTTCCTCCCATGTCAGTATTTGCTATCCTGTTTGAATTTACATATTTCATTCACTTCTCAATCATGCATGATTAATCTTGGATGTTTTCTATGTTTCTAATGATGCTACTTGAGATATAGACTTTTGGGATGGTGGAAATTACCTTCATCATCTTTGAAATTACATGCTTACTAATTTTGGGTTTCTACTGTGGGCATTCTGTATGTTGGCAAATCTTGCTAGAAAGAATGATTTTTTTATTTTATTTATTTATTGTTGTTGTTGTTGTTGTTGTTGAACAGGTGATTGAACTCAGGCCCTTGCACTTGCCAGGGAAGCGCTTGTTCTACTGAGCCATCTCCACAGCTCCTAAGAATGATATTTTGAATATCAACTCTTCTGATAATACCAGTTACCCTTTTATCCAAGTGACACTGTTTTTCCCAATAATCATGTTTAACCCTTGTAAGTGTGCAAGTTAAAATGTATGTCCCTCTTCCTAAATTTCATTTGTAGTTGTCTACCTTTGCTTATACTAATCTTCCAATAACTAAGTTTCTGTTTAGTTGTTTTACTTGTTTTAAGGAGCCAGGGGAATGGCTCTGTTGAATAAGTGCTTGCCTGGCAAGAGCAAGGACTTGAGTTCAATCCCCCAGTTCCAAAAATAAAAAATAAAAATAAAATCTCTTACTTGTTTTATTATAAGTAGATAAGATTCAAATTGTTCATTAAATTGCTAACTTTGTTTTTTTTAATATTTATTTATTTTTATTTATTACATTTATTTATTGTGTGTGTGTGTGGCCAGCTCAGCCCACCAGGGGGCGGGGCTGGCTGGCATGTGGTGCTGGGGGATCGAACCGCGGTCCCTGTGCTTTGCCAAGCTTGTTTCAAGTAGGTGCTTTAGACCACTGAGCCATCTCTCCAGCCCTAAATTGCTAACTTTGGATCCCACAATTCCCTCGTAATTTCACTCCAGTATATTCCACAAATTGCATAACCAACCTGTAGTCATTTATTTTATGCACTTGTGTTACTATAATAAGGTAATGAACACTTTATTTATAGAGAATTTCCTACATTTCTTTCTTTTGTACAGAGTTTTGAAAAAAATCAGTGGAGTATAACTGTGTTCTCAGTTTTTTAAAAGACACATTTATTCAGTGTCATGATCAGACTATTGCATCTAGCAATCAACAGCATGGGTGAATAAAAAGGTCTACATTAAACCCTTTGTTGGAATGCTTTACACTTTCCACAAAACAGAAACTAAGATAACCTGTTATACAATTAGTCACAAATACAGTCCTCAAGTTTGTTGCCCATACTCATGAGTATTGTCTGAAACATGTCTTCTTTGTAGCAGCTAGGCCCTGCCACCACTGTGCTTGGCTCAGTTCACAAATATGTTGTAACCTGTAGCTTCCCTGTCACTTCTCTGGCTCTCCTCTCCTCCTAAGCTTTGTTTCCTGGAAGTGTTTAAAACTTCTGCCACTGCCATAGCTACTGCTGCTGCTGGAGCCACCATAGCCACCTTGATTTTGTGATTTGGTAAAATATTGGCCTCCACCACCATAGAGCCCAGGGCTTCTGCCTCCAAAGCTTACTTCCTTCATGGATCCAAAATTTGAAGACTGACTGTTGTAATTGCCAAATTCATTATAGCTTACACCACCTCCATAATTGCTTCCATCATTACCAAATCCATTGTAGCCGTCTCCACTGCCACCAAAGCCAACCCTACCACAGCTGCCACCAAAGCCACCTCGACCACTGAAGTTTCCTCCACAACTGAAACTGTCATTGCCACCGAAACCACTTCCACTACTACCAAAATTTCCAGCACCACTTCGACCTCTTTGGTTAGATGAAGCACTAGCCATCTGCTTTGACAAGCCTTTCCTCACTTCACAATCTTGGCCGTTCACATTGTAGTATTTTTGAATGACAATCTTAACCACAGAATCATGGTCATCAAAGGTTACAAAAGCATCTTCTTTCTACTGCCTTGGTTGGTCATAATTTCAATCACATCAATTTTTCCATACTATTCAAAATAGTCTCATAGGTGATGTTCTTCAGTATCTTTAATGCCCCAACAAGGGTCTTTATCTCTATTAAGTGAGCATGTGTTCTCTAAGAATCTTCTCTTGAGACAGCTCTCTTTGGTTCCACAACTCTTCAATCCACTTTGTGTGGCCTTGCATTCATGGCTGCATTCACCTCCTCCACAGTGGCATAAATGACAAACCCAAAGCCCCTGGCACACTTGATGTTTGGGTTTCTGATTACCATGAGCTTGTTCCCCATTGCTCAAAATGGCTCCTCAGACTCTTATCAGTAGTTACAATGCTCAGACCTCCAATGAAGAGCTTCAGTAGCTGTTCAGGCTCTATTGGAGTCTCTGAGTTAGAAATGAGGGCAGTCGGAAGACAGACTGACAATGCTTCACCCATGGTGTCCACCAGCAAAAAGGAATAAGATACTCTGAGACTTTTATTCATAATATCCAATTTATTTCCAGAATGCCTCATTGTAATGTCCGACTTGCTAGCAGTTAGTGACTGTTTTAAGGATTGTGCTAAAAACACCTTTAGTCCACTTTCTGAAAATATGAAGATGTAAAATTTCTATATAGATAGTAAACTTTTATGTCTCCTTAAAATTTAGTCAACACTGTTTGGTTATTAAATGAAGAATAACCTAAATAACTAATGCTATGCTAGTTTCTCTCAAAATTTCTCAAATTACTAAATTCAAGAAAGCCATGAGGGGATTTTAATGGACATAGCTCAGTGGTAGAGCACATACCTAGCATGCTTGAGGTGCTCAGCTATCCCCAGCTCCACAAAACACTACACATTCCATAACAATGCATAGACAGCTACTAAAATATTTCCTTTTACTGCATGTTTCTAAATTCAAAACTAAAGAAATAAAATGAAGGCCAGAGAGATGGCTCAGTGGAATAAGCACTGCCTGGCAAGCGCAAGGGCCTGAGTTCAATCCCCGGTTCCACCAAAAAAATAATAATAAATAAATAAAATAGCCAGACATGATGGCATAGACCTATAATCCCAGCATTTGGGAGGTTGAGGCAAGATCATCATAAGTTCAAGACAACTTGGATTACACAGCAAGACCCTGTCTCAAAAAATGAGAAAATAAATCAAAATGATGATAAAATGACATCACATGTGATGGTTAAATAAGACTACAGGAGGTGTCTGATATGTTTATAAAGTTACTGAAATGTTGTCTGCTCTTTTTATAGTACTTCAGCCTACTGCTTTGTAATCATTGCTTAAGGCTTTGCATTTGCTTTGGTACTTCATTCATTAATCACTGAAAATATTCTCACATGCCTATTTTGTGAAAGTTGCTATTGTAAAGATACACTGTGAAGCAAATATTCATAGGCATATGGTGTGGATTAGAATCCGCTGTATACAAAATTCACCAGGAAATTTACTCTCAAAGTTCCAAATCATTCTTGCAAAACCTATTTTACAGAAAGGTAAGACTATCCCTTGAACAATGGGCATCTTGTTGGAAAAGAATCGAAAACTTGCCCAGATTCTAAAGGATGAAAACAGGTGAAGAAACATCTCCTCATGGGTGAGCACCAGAGCTGGACTTCCAAGAAAAGGCTGACTACTGACTTTTCACCCATCCTTTTGCTTCACCCCTCAATTTCCCTCTTCTCTCTGGGGAAATGGATGTGCTCCACATACACAACACACTACACACACCGAAAAAAAAGAAACCTACGGGACGGGGGGGTAAACAATGAAAAACTGAAGCAAGTATTAAAAAGTGCCAAAAATTACCACTTTCCTGAGAAATAAATACCTTCAGTTTACCATATACGGAGCTGTGGATCATTCCTGGATTTTCACTGCAAGTTAAACAATGAAATTTTGAGTTTATTCTATTTGGGAAAAATAGGATTAGGAATACGAAACCTGTACAAAAGAATACACTGCAATTACAGGTTAGGACTCTGAGCGTCGCTGTTCACCAATCCCGGGGAAAGACAACCTGAAATATCGGAACAAGATTTCTGCAGCACAAAGCCACTGGTTCTGGGGCTTTAGAAAAGCTTCAACCTGGATTCCCCCGAGCCCCAGCATCCTATGGCCAAAGCACATCATTCGGGAACCCAGCGGTCATAGGACTCCTCTGGGCTCCACGTAGAAACACCCCAGCTCAGGATATCCGCAGCGGGAAGGCAATGGCGGCTCCTCTTCACTCACCAGGCTACAAAGGACTGCTCTGCATCTGCATACTCCTCCGGACTCTGTGGGAAACCCGGGCAGAACAGATCTGCTACTCGGTGCCCGAAGAGCTGGAGAAAAGCTCTGTGGTGGGCAGCATCGCCAAGGACCTGGGGCTGGAGCCCCAGAAGCTGGCTGAGCGCGGAGTCCGCATCGTCTCCAGAGGTAGGACGCAGCTTTTTTCTCTGAATCCGTGGAGCGGCAGCTTGGTCACGGCAGGCAGGATAGACCGAGAGGAGCTCTGTGACCGAGCTCCAAAGTGTGTGGCAAACCTAGAGATTCTCCTAGAGGATAAAGTAAAAATCTTTGAAATAGAAGTGGAAATAATCGATATTAATGATAACTCACCCACCTTTGCAACAGAGCAGAGGGAAATAAAAATTGCTGAACATGAAATTCCAGGGACAAGATTTCCTCTCCCAGAGGCTTTCGATCCAGATATAGGTATAAATTCGCTGCAGGGTTACCAGCTCAGCTCCAATGCTCACTTCTCCCTGGATGTGCAAAGCGGGGCAGATGGGATTAAGTACCCAGAGCTGGTGCTGGAACGCACCCTAGATCGTGAGGAAGAGCCAGCACACCACCTCGTACTCACTGCGTTGGATGGAGGAGACCCAGTGCGCTCTAGCACTGTCAGAATTCACATAACACTTATAGACACCAATGACAATGCTCCTGTCTTTACTCAGCCTGAGTACCTTGTAAGTGTTCATGAGAACTTGCCCATTGGCACTCGGCTCCTCATGATAAAAGCCACTGATCCAGATGAAGGACCCAA